ATTTTCTAACGATCCTGGATTTTGGGAAATATTGAAAAGATTGTATTTCGCTCGAATTTTTTGTTGGAAAAAAAAAACTTTCTATCCATATCAAAATTTAGATTCTTTATGTTAATTAACATTAAGGGACAAAATCGAAATTAAACCCGTATGATAAGTTTTTGAAGTCATTGTATATTATTCTAGTTGAAGTAATCAGCAATATCTAATCCTCAATTTGTCATTCTTTTCTAATGGCACAATTAATAATTATACTGTACATTGTGCGTTATCATGATTGATTGTTGTCGTATTTTAAGTATATGTATAATAACGAGAAAGTTTCAACTCGTCACGTGACGAGTTGAACAAACAGCAAAAATCAGACCTTTCGGAACACCAAAAATAGGGATATCCAAAAATACAGGGATGTCGTAACAAAATTTACAGGCCGATCGTAACAATTAATACAGGGAATTCGTAACAGTTGCAGAGCTTCCGCAACGAAGCAACAGGGATTTTGTAATGAGGATGAGGGTAATACTGGACTTAGCTTGCAGAAATTACATGCTTTTCGTTATGAAAGCTCTGTAATGGTACATATCAAAAGACCCGTTACGATCGTCCTGTAAAATCTGTTACGAAAACCCTGATTCTATCGTTACGAAAGCTCTGTTACGGGTTTTCGTACTGTCAATTCGTTACGAAAGCCAGAAAACAAAAATCGTGACGAGTTGAAATTTTCCCATAATAACTTCATGATATTTTTCGATTTCGTTCAGTATTTCTACTGTTACAAAGTGATTCTTTAAAAGCAAAGTTATTATGTATATTGTCACAGAGAAAAGTGTTTGTTTTACAGCAGTAAAAAACTATAAATTTATTCTACGTACTTAGAATTCGCAAAAAAAAGTCAATCAGGATATAGTATACTAGCGAGAAAACTACCCGAACTGATATGTGCCTCTGGAGTCGAATTTATCATCATTTTACTGAATATCCAATCCAGTTTTAGATACATACCGAAACATCAAAAACTGGAATTTCGCTGTAAAATTTTGCTAAAATATAGAAAATAATTGTTTGTCATAGACATGATACCAAAACTAACTGTAATTGAAAATTAAATTTCTCAAGAAAGAGAACATAAACTTTCAGAATATTCTATGAGTCGTTAGATCTTTCTATGGGCAAATTTTTGCGTCCTGCTTTGTTTTTTGTATACTTTTGCAAGTTTGATCAAGGCGTCCTTGTATGTTCAATATGAACTTAAACGATGGATGCGGATCTCTCTTTGATTTTAAGATATAAATGATTATTTCAAGTATGCTATTGACTAAATATTGCTTTAGAAATAAGAATAGAATGATAATATTAACATAAAATCGAATTGATAGTTTTTGTTTATTATAAATCTTACCTTCAATAACAACATATCGATTGATTCGATCAATTTCATTGTTTAATTCTCGTTTATTCATTTTTCTTCCCGTTCGTATACTTATAACATAATTTGGAAAGCTAAATTTCAACAAACAAACAAAAAGAATTCTCCATAAAATGATGTTATAAACTTCTCATATATACTCAAAATCAATTGCATAAAATTTAAGAAAACCAATAAATAAATCTGCAACTTCAACAGTAACATTTGTTGAAATCCATATTTTTGCTAGATCAATTGTATTATATAAATTTAATTTACGAATATCAATATTCTTATCAAATTTATTAATTGATAATAATTCATTAAAACGAGGTACAATTGGTGAAGGTGAAACTGCTATTTGTAAATAGTAAATACACATTAATGTAAGACAATATCCATTAAAACTATTATGTATTCGTTGTTTAAGATTAATTTTTGATGCCCAATATCTAAATATAAGATTTTTTTTTTTTTCAAAAACAAACCAACAATAATTATTCAAATTAACTTGATTGTATTAATAAGTATTGGTAATCGATGATCACATTCAGAATAAAATCTCATTAGAAATGTATTTCGTATGGTAACAGCTTCATTTAAATATATATTACATGTAATTGACCTTGATAATAATAGATAATCGAAAGAAAATAATAATATTATTCTTATTATTAAACATACGTTAATAAATCAAATAATATAAGTATTGAAAATGTTCGTTTGATTAATTTTACATGTCGAAAATATTCTTAATAAAAAAAGCAAAACTTAATCAATAGAATTATAGACAAATTAGAATTCTACCTCCATGTTGAAATATATCACGAATTTTTTGTAAGATATAACTTGATTCGTATTCACTTAACTAATAAAAGATTATAAACATATTGAAATTTTAATTTCAATTACTTTATCATGTGATATCATTAAACAAATATCAAGTTCACTATTACATTGACCAAATCCATTAACTGTTGATCCGATGATATATAGACCAATATCTATTTATAAATTAGAATAATTAAAAGAATTTTATTATTATCTTTACATACATGGAAATATATCTCGAAATAATTCTTGAAGATTATTAACTAATTTATATTTAGTTTTTTGAATAAATTCACTTGTTTGATTACATTGCCATAATTCATAGAGTTCATTATTAAGCTAAATAAAATTATATCGTTTAAAATATTGATTTTTCGTACCATTAATTTTTACTTACAGTTGATCTCGATTGATAAAATTTAACTTCACGATTACTATTATTATTAAATGAAGGAATAGGGTCTACAATTTCAAATAAAATCCAAAAAAAAAAAAAACTTAAGATGAAATAATTCAGAGCAAGCTCAAGTTATAATTCAATATTCAAATAAATTAAAAATCCATACTGATTATATCAAATATCCCCTGCACTCTTTATTGATCAAAAACTCTATTTCGAGCTAGACATTAGGCATGATAGCCTCAAGTACTATATACAACTAGAAATATCATTTGACTCTAAACAGCTTACTGTTATAGAGCTAATAAATTTAAGAATTTTTTTTTCATAGCAATCATATTGAAATTCTTTTTTTTTTGGTTTTTACTTAAGAGTCACGCAAAACACCTGTTTCCTCAATCTTGACTGCTTACGACCTCTCTCTCTAACTTTGTCTGATCGGACTAAAATTTTTACCACAGATATTGGAAGTAGCTCCCAGATGTAAAATTTACTATTTTCGTTTTTGACGTTCGTATACGAATTTATAGAGTTTTGAAAGTGAAGACGTCGATTTTGGCTGCGAATCATTACGTATTCCTCTTGTTAAAAAGAAAACAGGTTTTTGAAAATGTTCCAAAATACTATTATGATGTGCATCTTCTTCAACTGCAGTCATTAGGGTTTCCCCTCTTTATCAATACAGTTATATGTATATGCTTATGTTCTTCTTCTTGTCCTTCGTTGTTAATCTTGTGCGTTGAATATTTTTTTTCTGTCATATATATTGGATCTTTCTTCTCTTTCCTTCTTTCATGTTGTTCTATGGAGATTTTCCTTTCCTTTTTATATCGCTTATGGGATTTTCAATTGAGAATTTTCTTCATGTTATCGTCCGATATATATTCCTCAGATTGTAGCGATTATTAAAAATAGATATAATTATAAAAATAAAGTACAAGTGGGATTAAAATCTCACAAATGTCTTTGAGATATAGTCTGAAGTATCTCGAAAAAATAATTTTCAGCTCTATCGAATAAAGATTCATGACGATAGCAACGTACTAGGATGGGATTCCATAGAAAACCAGGGTTTTACAGAAGCCTTCTTGAAATTCTTTTTTCCTCAATTTACTCCATGAACGTATCTCTGAGAAGATAAGATTGATATTTATTTTACAAGAAGTAATCTAATCTACAGTCCTACACAAAATTCTTTCGTTCTTCGGATCTTAACCATCGTAAGGGAGAGAAATCTGAGAGTTTTTGTACTCATATTCGACCATGAGCATAGATCAATGGAATTATTCACATTCAACTTGCTTGAGTCAATGTTGAGTTATGATAAATCGCACCCATTTTTGCTTTGAGCTTCATAACTCTAGAGACGGAGGACGCTGTGAGTTAACAGGTCTATTGTAATGTAGTGCTATGTTTCAATTATTTGTTATACAAATTCTGTGGCGGTTCATCAAGCTCTTTAGAGCATTGTAGTCATTTTACTCTAAATATTGTCCATATTTGGATATTATTTTCTGCAAGTTCCATTATACTAGATGAATATGACCTACAGATGATCATCTTATGAAAAATATCCCGAATTACTCATATATTTAATAAGAAACAAGACAAACTTTAATACTCATTCCTTTATTATTAAATAAATATGACATACATCCATTGAAGAATTTGTATTTGAAAGTAGTATTGAACATTTTTCTATTTTCAAAGTAAATAAGTTTACTAATAAACCTCTTGATTAAAGTATTTATTTCATTGGCGGGTAAAACAAAAGCAAATATCTTCTATTACAGAAATGAATTATCATAATTTTTTTTTTATCAAAAATACAACTGCATATATAAAGACAAACAGTTTGCACTTTTTCTTTTCTTTCTGTCTCTTGAGAATATTGTGCACATGACTAAAGAACAGAAAAATGAATGAGAGCGCCGCCAGAATCACTATCCACCTTGCATAGAATGTAGAGTCCTCTTTTTACGTTCATCATCAAGGATACGTAAAAATCTATTCATGAAAATCTTTTTGTTTTTAATAAAGAAAATATTCTTATAAGCTTATTTCTATGGACTTATTTATTCTTTTGTTTAGTTTAGATTGATTTAAAAAATTAACAATAAAACATTAATCTAAGAGATTTATCATGAACATTTGTTTTCGGTAATATGATGTTGTTATTATTATTAACATTCTTGTTAATTATCATTTTCTCTGAATAATCTTTTCTTTAGGATAACGATTCGAACTTTCGCTAAGATGGCTTTATTCAAGCCTCGTCCTGTTGTTATATCGGGTCCAAGCGGGTAAAATTTAAAGATTGTTTTTGTTATTTATTAACCAAAAAAAAAAAAGAATACTTTTTTTTAATCTCCAAATTATGATAAACACAAATGAAGGACGATTAATATAAATATCTATTTCATAGATCTGGCAAGAGTACATTAATTAATCAATTATTCAAAGAATATCCAACAGCATTTGCTTTTAGCGTTTCTCGTATGTCTAATTGACATATCTGACAATCATATATACTCATTGTTTTTCTTTATTTAGATACTACACGAACACCTCGACCTGGTGAACAGAATGGTCGAGGTATTTAATATATTTTTTGTTTCTTAATTTTTTCTATTGGATGAATAGAATATTATTTTGTATCACAAAATCAAATGGAAAAAATGATTGCTAATGGTGAATTTGTTGAAACAACAGAATTTTCTTCAAATTTCTATGGAACAAGGTTAATAAAACATATAAATATAGAGTGATGCAAAAGTCATTTAAATGAACAAAAAGAAATTGAATATCATTACTAGGATACAATTAAATGAACTGATTCTTTTACCATTGGTAAATCAAATGTACATAGCTTATATTTATAAGACAAACATTGAAATTTGATCGTTAATTTCAATATCAAATTTTAAGTATTGAGTAATATTCTATATTTTTAAAAAGTTTCATCCGTAAACGATGAAATATTATAAAATATCGTTTTCCATCGTTTGTTCACAATTACTGTTCTATACCAACGTCAATAAGAATATTTCATAAAGGTGTTTTGTTTTTCTTATAAACTATAGGTTATGAATATAGCTTTATCAATGGTAAAAAGAAACATTTGCCTATTCAGTCAGGATATAACCACAATATTCAAATAAGAGATGCAACGATGTACTAGTCTCAATATGTGTACGTATAGACTAATAGTGAAAATGATAAGCACATCATAAAACAATAGTGGTTATAGATTTATTTCAACTTTTTCGATCGAGCGAAGTCTACTGCAGGAAAATTGTTGAATTTTATAAAACATGACAAAACCATAAGAACTAACGAGGCAACTTCTTCAACTGCCTCTATTCGAGTCCAATGATTATTATTTTTTCTATAGATACTACATACTATTCTATTAAATACCTTGAAAGGACTTAAGTTCCTATTGAGTTTTGATTAACCTATCGAATTTTTAATAGATCTATTTTATAGAGGCCCCAGGTTTTCGGAAAACGCGTACTGTGGAATTTCGAGCTGAAACTTTGTGAATATAGAAAACTCAATTAGAAGAACTTTCATAAAAAAATTCACAAGTTTTCAACAAAGTTTCTTCGAGATATGACGCTTTCAAAAGATACCTATTGTATACACTATCGATGAAAAAGGATCTATTTCTTGAAAATCTCATATCTCAAAGAGACTTTATTTAAAACTTGTGAGTTTTTTTAAGAAAGCTAGTCTAGTTGAGTTCTATATATGTGCAAAATTTCAGATTAAATTTCGAAAATATAAGTTTTCCGAAAACTTGAGTCCTCTATATAAAATATACATTTAAAAAATTTGATAGGTTATTCAAGTTTCAATAGGAATCCAAATACTTTGAGGATTTGCATTAGAACCGAAAAGAGACAGTTGAAGAAATTCTTTCGTTAGCTCTTCTGGTTTAGTTATATTTTATAAAATTCAATTATTTTCTTGAAATAGATGTCCTTCGATCGAAAAAGTCGAGATGAATCTAAAATCATCATAGTTTTTTCATGTGTTTATCATTATGCTACACGTATATGGCTATAGACCATTGTAGTGTCCTGCCTAAGACAGATGCACCAGTGAACATTGTCATCATTACATTCTTAACCGAAATTTTGGTTCCTAATGAATCGACTTTTGCTTCATTCTGTATTTATTTCAAAAAATTGTGTGTATATTTTCTTTTTGTTTGTTGTTTAGTAAAAAAGCTGTTGAAGATGTAGCTAAAACAGGTCGTTTATGTGTACTGGATGTTGATAAAGAAGGTGTTAAAAGTATTCGAAAAACAAATCTTAATCCATTAGTTATTTATATAACTCCACCAAGTTATGAAATTCTTGAAAAACGTTTACGTGCACGTAACACCGATAATGAAAATGCCATTCAATTCCGTTTAAAAGAATCGAAAGAGTCAATGGAATTTAGTAAAGAACCAGGTGTATATGATCATATTGTAATAAATGATAAACTTGATGTAGCTTATAAAGATTTAAAAGAAGTTCTTCGTAAAGTAAGTTTTCCTGTTGTATAGCAAGATTATTTTTGTTGGTTTATTTTGTAGGATATTGAAGCAGTTTTACAACAGCAAAAAATGAACAATAATGACCAAAAATAAATAGTCTTTTAGTTTTCCTTAGATATTTTAGTAATAATGAAAATCCATGCATATATTTATTTATTAGAAAAATAAAATATTTTATTGAATGTATATTGTTTTGACATAATATTTCATATTTTTGTTTTTTTTTTATCTTCGTAATCTTGAATAAGTTGAACACTAAAAGTACAAATTAAGTGTTTTAAATTGAATACTAAACGAAATTGAAATTCTGAAAGACTTTCTAAATTTGTACGAGTGCTGAAAGTCGTTCTAAATTCTACAAAAGTTTAATATTTTAACAAATTTAAACATAGACGAAGCATAATCTTTTACAGAATGATTCAGAAATCTCCTTTCATTTGAAATAATTTCGAATACTAATGACACCAAATGTCTTGTTTGCAAAATCCATTCGCATTATTTTTTACAATAGCACAAGCGTATATTAAATACTATTTTGAGTCAAATTATCTCTAGGCTAAATCAGATCAGAACGAAATAACATACTCAATGATGAACATTAGTGTATTTATGTAATTAGTTTAATAATATTAAAAAGTAAACTCACTCCAATTAGATCGAAAGATAAATAATTGTAGACAATGGCAGTTCATAAAATCTGTTTGAAATACCAAACTTTTCACTCGATAACAGTAACAACTAGCGACCCGTGACTTTCAGCAATGGAAAAACAAGAAATCTAGGTGTTTTTTTCAAAACATTCCACAAAAAAAAATGCATGAAAATGATCTTCCCTTTCTATGTAATTTTGATCTTGACATGTGCTTTATAAATAGAAGGACTTTAGAGACATGATCTAAGTTTAGAAAATTTTCTGATGTTTTATTAAAAAGTTCCTTAAAATAGAATACCATTGAATGTTTTGCAAAGATAATGAGTTGTCAAATAATTTTGTCTTATATAGTATCAAGCAAAAAAAACGTCCGGAATTCCTTTCATTCGATTGTTGAAAATCGAAAGTTACTAACTGTTGCCGTTGTTCAGATTATATTCATCTCTCTTTAATTCTGGCACAGACATTACATTGCTACGAATCCTTATTAAAATCCATGAAGACATGAAAACTTCACGTTAATGATGAGTTTCATTCGACCATCAAATAGTTTCAAATACATATATTATCATCGTCAAACTTTTATGCATATATTATTTTTACTGTTGGATATTTGCATGAAATTCATCTAATGAAGATTTTATTTGAATACGTGTTTCATCAAGAGTGATAACAATATGATCAACTATATTTGACATTTTGATGTATTTTAAAAAAATAAAATAAAAAAGAAAGGCAGTGCACAAAAAAAAAAGACACTCGGATATTCACTCGTTTTCTAATGAGCAGAAGCATATTGTCTTGGTTGTGGCAATTGAAATCCTGAATAATTTGTTAATGCTTGTTTATAATTTTCACGTGTCATTTGTATACTAACATTTTTGTCAATGATTGATTCCATAGGACGTGTTTTAGGAAATTTATTTGGATAATATGTTTTTCCTTGTTTATTCACGACATTTTTAACTTGAGAATAGATTGAACCAATAACATATGGATCTTTTTCACTACGTTTAGGAAATTTATCAAAGCAACCATCTTTATTTCCACCAAGCTAGAAGAAAAAATAGAATTGAATAGGGATTTCTTGTTTCTAAAAAAAAAGAACAAGAAAATTCAACAAACCGATTTGCCTGGTGAACTATATTTAAATGTTTTTTTATCACCTGGTGCTGATCTTGAACGTTCTTTTTCTTCAGCACGATTTTTACCTCCTTTACCATCCTCATGAAATGGATTACGATCAAAATATTCTTTTGGATGCATATTTAATTTAAATACACCAGCTTTTACTGCTGCTTTATGTTGAGAATAATCTCTCTAATATGAAAAAAGAAGTTTATAAAAAATTATTTGTCAAATTTCAATTTTTACTCGTTGAGCGTCCATTGATGCATCATATTTATCTACTTTATCTTTATATGTATATGGAGGATCTTTATCAACACCTAAATTTGGATAACTATTAAAAAAGAAGAAGAAAAAAGTTCAATATCATTCAATAGGATATTCGAATAACATACCCATAACCAGTTCCTTGTTTTGGTGGAATGATTTTAACATTCGGTTTTTCCGAAGGTGCTTTCGTTCGTTCACGATATTTTGGTTTTGCTGGATCGGTATCTTTTACAGGACCACCTATTGTTCCAAAGAATGAACCTAATCCTTCTCTAAAAATAACAAACAAGAAATAAACGATTGTTTTATAATCTAAACGTTTCTAGTAAACATCAAGAATATAACAGTGATAATCACTAACGCGCCAGTGCGAGTTATACATAAATAATTAGATGGCAAAAAAAAAATTCGAAGTCTCCAGTTGATTTTCATTAATCTGGGTGAGTTTTTTCTCGGTGATTGAGAAATTCATTAAAGTTTTTATTCATAAGGAAAATGTGAAATAGACGTTGTGTAGAACAAGCACTATTGACCTCAATGAAGAACTATTTTATTGGTCAGAAGTATCACGAGAGAATTTCTCTAAGTTTCAAATTGCTTTTCGATCGAGACGATATTCATATTGTGAGTAATAGAAAATTCTAGAATGCTTTCGTTTTCCGAACCTTTCTCCTTGAAATATCGAAATTTTACTGAATTTTCAACAAAAGCCTATGATCTCCCTCAGGTCAAGCGTAAAATCAATTTACAACTTCAAACTTTGCACAAGCAAAGGTCTTCATAAGACTAGTTGATTGTGCAAGTTTTTTAGCGGTTTTAGTATTTTCTTTTTGGAAACGTGCATACGTGAACAAAGTTTACTTGTACACATAAGAGAATTTCGAATATTTCTGTTAAAAAATTCGGTAAAATTTTGATAGCTCAGGAATAAAGGCATGGAAAACCAAACCATTCGAGGTTTTTCTATTGTTCACTTCTATTTATCAAATAAGCATTGTCTTAGTCAAAAATGTAATTTAACACCAGGAGAAATTCTCTTGTAGAACATTCTTAGAGCTAGACATGTGAAATCTTTAGCGTATATACTATCTTAGATACGAGTCTTATAACTTAAGAAAAGAAGAAGGTTCTCACTTGGCAAACCTATTCTTATATAATCTTTTCAAGCGGCTATTGACGCTATAAATTTCGTTAAGTTCCAATCGAGTGTTCAAAAACTGAGGATAGTTTACATAACAATATCTTAATTAGATTGTAATCTCCTTCCCGTCTTCAATTATAGAACTTACAGTGAAGAGAACTATCACACATCATAATTCCTCATCAACTCCAGCGATTATGGTCGAAGTGATTTCTTTAGCCTACATTTCTAACATAGTACATATGCTAAAAATTTCAGATATGTTGCTTATTAAGGTGAATAGTGCCAATTCAAAGCAGTATTCATTGATGGTTTTCTTATAAATAAAAACTTTGAAACGCTCTGTATCATCGCGAAAAACATCGACTCAATTGCTTAAAACAGACTAGAAATATTGTGTATTTCTATCACCTAGTTATTTATAAACGCTCTGTCTATCTACAAACATCACAATTGTTTATTGTAGTTAACGATGAAGTGTGTAATGTCAAGATTTGGTTAGTATCGTTTACATGTCTCATGTTCAAAATTGGAAACTATCTATTTCAGTCATGATTTCACGTACGGACTTCTAGCTCGATACATGCTAACAAATGGTTTTGTAACAATATTCTTCTTCTTCTCTTCAAGACGAGCTTTACGACGCAATGATATTGGATCAATATATGAACCAGGTAAAATTTTAAATTCCGCATCAAAATATCCAGCCGTGGATCCTGTTGATCGTTCTTTTGAACCTTTCGTCAACATTTGTTTATTCTTGTAAGCTGCTTCATTGAAATTAACTTTAAACAAAAGATATCAAAGAACGTATTTCATTCGTTTCATATTACATCCAAAACTTACATTTAGCAGCTTCTTTATATGGATCTTTGATTGAAACATATTCCATTTCTTTGAATAGACCAACACGGTCCATGTCCTCTTTTGTTGTTCCCATGATTGTAATTTAAAATAAAAAAAAATGAAGTAACTTTTCTTATCTCAATCTTAGGAAAGTAATGTTGCCATTATAACAGTGTCTCTCGGGACAACAAACAAAGTGAAATTTTTTTTCTTCACATAGAGCACGCTGTGAATCAATGTTTCAATGACAACTTCAATTCGATGCATTAAATAACCTTTTAAAACAGAAAGTTAAATTGTGTTCAACTAGATCCTTAAGGCAAGTTCAGTAATGTTTATCTACATAGTCAAACCATGTGGTAACGATAGCAGTTAAAAGCGGATCAAGTGAACATTTATATTGTTGACTACTCTTTCATGCAATCGTGCCAAGATGCTTTTGTTTCGTATAATTGCGTTCTTGAAACCTTTGAAATACGAGTAAAAGTTTGTCTTTCAAAATTCTGCACTTGAAAGATTTCATCAATTTATATGACATGAAAATTAAATTATTATTGGAAACTTTATCGCAAAATATATTACAACTAAGAAAGAAACATATAGACGAACAAATATTAATATGTCGGAGATTAAAGGAACCCTAAGACATGAATTCAAAATCGATCAAAACAAATAGTGTTATCGTTTACTTTAAATGAAACTTGCATATTGAACGAATTGTAAAATCATATACAAGGCTCTTATATTTGACAATAAATAAGACAAAAAAATCTTACGAGAGAGCGTTTCTAACTGTCAAATGGCATTTAAGGCGGGACTATGTACATAATGTATATTCTAATGAACTATAAATACCTTGAAAAGAGTTAGTGTTCGAAAACCCAAGTTTCAAATTTTGATCTGAAACTTTGCACAGACATAGGCCTTAATGAGAATAGCTTATGGTGAAAGTTTCAGATTTTTGATTGCGTCGATTCTGCAATAAGAATATCGGGCTTCGCCATTGCATATGGTTGACATGGAAAATATGCTTTTACAAAAGCTGTATCTTAAGAT